ACTGGCCTCAAGGGCTCTCTGTGTGGGGCTTTTCCACATCCCAGCTTCTGGTGCCCAGTCCCTCACCTGGGTCTTTGTTGTCTTCTTCTGGGAAGCTGCCGGGTGCACTTTAGCCTCTGTCCTAGCTGTTCCAGCCTCCGCCATGCCCTCCAGCCTACCCTGCCTGGCTTCTGCTGTCATTTTTTCTGCCCAAGCATGACTTGTCTTCTTCATTCTCCTGCCACCTGTCCCATTCCTGTCTAGCATCTCTGCTCACTAACCCACAATGCCACCATCATCTTTCCTCTGAGCTAATCCCTCAGGTATCACAGATTATGTGATAGAACTGGTGTTTACATAGCGTTTGCCTGCAGCAAACAAGGAGTTCAAACGCTGCATGTAGACGTTATAGAAGGAGTTGTCAATACAGGTGGCTAATTAATTTATATTCTTTTTATCTCTCATTTTGGCCATGGGCAGTCGTTATTCACTTAAACAGTGTAGACATTTAATAAGTTACTATATTTTCTTCTGTTGCAAATGCATAGAAATAAGATTATATCTTCACACAGAAACCTGCCCATTGCTTCCAATCCTTGTAACTGTCGGCAAATAGCGTGCAGTAGGCGGATAACTAAGTTGAGATGAGGGAGCGGTGGGGCAAAGGGAAGTGTGCCCTGACCCACCCCAGGCCCAGAAAGGGACTTCTGATCCTTTCTGTTGGTACCATCACCTCTAAATGGATCAGGGCTAAGTGTAGCACAATTAATAATAACCCAGAGACAGATATTGGAGGTCAACCTAAAGGTCAGAAAAGCAAAGCAGCCAGCCACTGACTCTTACCTCTGCCTCAGTCTGAAGTGACGATCCTGCCTCCAGGAATCTCAGAATGAGACCATTTCTGAAAGCTGTCTCCTCTGTCTTATACTCCTCTCTAGGGCTGGGATTAAAGGCATACACCACTACCACCCAGTTTCTGTGGCAAACTAGTGTGGCTAGTGGGATTAAAGAGGTAGGCTACCACTGCCTGGTCTGTAAGGCTGACCAGGGTGGCTGTTTTACTCTCTAATCTTCAGACAAGCTCTATTTATTAAAATACAGATGAAATGCCACTACAGCGAGGGCCAGTAAGGGGTGCTCAAGAGAGCCCAGGGGGATCTGCAGCACTGTGGGGAAGCTGAAGGGCAGTGAGGAGCCTGGGAAAAGTCAGCCAGTATCCAGCTCTCACCTCCCTTCTCCGTGGGCTTAGGCCTGGCAGGAGCAGGCAGCAGGGCTGGACACACTGTACTGGTGGCAGGTCACTCTCCGCTGTCACCTGTTGTCAGATATGTTTGGGATCATGTGTGTCCCTTACTCATCATCAGCATCTCACTGAACCTGCTTACAGCCTTCATGTAAGCAGGCAGTTCTTCACCCAGAGAGATCCTGGGAGACGGACACCTGTTGATTGCCCACTTCTTGGCTCCGTGACTGCATTTCCCGCCACTGTCTGGGGCAGTCTCACCTGAGGCTCAGTCTCCCGGCCCTGGAGTCAGGCTTTTCACAGGATACTATCCTCGTATCCTCCTTCTGTATGTTTACCCGTGTTATCCTCGTATCCTCCTTCTGTATGTTTACCCATGTTATCCTCGGCATATTCTCCTTCTGTATCATGTTTACCGTGTTACTCCTTTTATTAGTCTTGTGAGATGACTGAAAGTAAAGTTTTCATTATACTTAATTCTATCACTCGTGACCACTTTTGATATCTTATGTATTTCATAAATTTGTGACTGGAGAGAGGGTTCCGCAGCCAGGAGCAGTCACTGATGTATCATGAGGACCTGTTTTGGGATCTGGGAGCTCATATCAGCTGACTCACAAATGCCTGCATCTCAAGCACCAAAGGACCACACTCTTTTGGCTTCTGTGGTCACCCACACACATACATGCACACACAGACACACAAATAATTTTAAACATTTACAGTTAGCCCAAATGGCACTTTTGTATCTGTGGTTTTTCTTTATAATATTGTTTCTTAAGTATTCTCTGATTAAGTTCCCTGCTATTTTTTAGGAGAATAGAGAATGTGGTCGTTAAATGATGAATATTTTGATAATTTAGGTGTGTGTGTGCGTGCGTGTGTGTGTGTGTGTGTGTGTGTGTGTAAGAGAGAGAGAGAGAGAGAGAGAGAGAGAGGAGTGTAGTTGTACTTTTTTACTCTTTGCCCCCCCCCCACCAGCTCCCAAATAACACATGGAGTCTTATTATTATTTATAAATGCCTGACCTTATCTTGGCATATTTCTTGCCAGCTTTTCTTAAATTAATCCATTTACCTTTTGCCTCTGGGCTTTTATCTTTCTCTATTTCTGTATATCTTTTCTTTCCTTCTTATTCCATTTCTGACTAGCCCTTAATATCTTTCTCTCCTTTTCTTTCTTCCCCTCTTCTTCCTTCTTCAGTTTATTCTCTCTGCCTAGCAGCCCCACCTATCCCTGTCCTGACTTGTTATTAGCTGTTCAGCTCCTTATTAGACCAATCAGGTGTTTTAGACAGGCAAAGTAACACAGCTTCACAGAGTTAAACAAATCCAACATAAAAGAATGCAACACATCTTTGCATCATTAGACAAATATTCCACAGCATTAACAAATGTAACACATCTTTAACTGATATTCCACAACACCCCTTACGTGCTTTTGTCAGAGTGGTTCATCATAGCAACATACACATGCACACAAACTAAGAATGTGAAAGTGGCCGGGCAATGGTGGTGCACGCCTTTAATCCCAGCACTTGGGAGGCAGAAGCAGGCAGTTCAAGGCCAGCCTGGTCTACAAGAGCTAGTTCCGGGACAGGCTCCAAAGCTACAGAGAAATCATGTCTCGAGGAAAAAAATGTGAAAGTGGAAACCGTCCTACATCTTAAGAAAATCCTCAAAGATTACAAGATAATGGTAGGTAGGTGGCTATTTCTGTAATCTCCGAAGGCTGAGGAAGGAGGACTGGCATCAATTGGAAGCCAGTTTGGGCTACCTAGTGAATGTAAGGACGTGCTGGGTTATGATGGAAGGTTCTGCCTCAAGAAAACAAAAATAAGTCAGAAGAGAGAATTACGATATAAATTGTCTCATACTTGACAGCTAGCACATATGTTATAGCTGCAGGAAGAAATACAAACAAACCTATGTCTACTCTGAGCCAGAAATCATCATATGCTGCTGTGTGGGGCCACTGGTAACAGCCGGGAAGGGAAGTGTGTCTGGAAGTGTGCACATGTTTTCTTCATGCCAGGAAGATATGAGGACTGCTCAGAGGCCTGCAGCTTAGGTTCTGACCGTCATCCCTCTGCCTGCTGCCTTCCTTTCTAAGGTCGCAACTCAACACAATGAGATGAATCCATTTCCTAACCTGTGTATTTGCACTGAGCACCTAATGCTGGGGGTGGGACACAAAGCATCAAGAATTATTTCATCATTTTTGTCATCTGTGTGTGTGTTCATGTGTCTGCACATGCGTAGAGGTGTATGCTCACATGTACATGAGCATGTATACGGAGACCGGAGGTCAATGTTTGCTATCTCCATGCTATATTTTGATACAGGGTCTCTCCCTGAACCTGGAGCTTGCCCATTCAGCTAGATGGACTAGGCAGCAAGCCCCAGGGGTTCACCTCTGTTATTTGCCCAGCACTGGGATTTACAGGCAAGCACCCCCACTTTTGACTTTTTACAGGGGTGTTGGAGTTCTGAATTTAGGCTTCTTGGTTGCATCATAAGCCCTCTGCTGACTGAAACCCAGCCCTGCTGTGATTCTCATGAGACCCTGTCAATTAGAGAATGGGATGGAACAGGCACATCCTCAGATTATAGAATACAGCAGGGGCAGGGGACACTGCCAACGAGTTTAAGACCAATAGGGTATAGGGTTGTCTGTTCTTCCCCAAAGGGGGGGTATTTTTTATTTTTAGAATAAGGAGAACATGAAAATTATTGAAAGTGGAGAGAAGAGAGTCTGTGTGGAATAGTTATGAAGATGTTGGGGGTGCCCAGTGGGAGAGAGAGCCTTGAGAAGAAGGAAGTGTTCTCAGTTAGGGACAGAGGTGGAGAGAGAGCCTTGAGAAGAAGAAATTGTTCTCAGTTAGGGACAGATGTGGAGAGAGAGCCTTGAGAAGAAGGAAGAGTATTCTCAGTTAGGGACAGAGGTGGAGAGAGAGCCTTGAGAAGAAGGAAGAGTGTTCTCAGTTAGGGACAGAAGTGGAGAGAGCCTGAGCCACCCGAGGCAGCACTATTGTCTGAGGAGGAGAGAAGGCACAGTGTGCAGCCACGGCTTGACTTTCTCAGTCTGGGGAGAAGGCGCCTCACTGGTCCCAGGGGAAGTGTTCAGTGGCAGGCTTGAGGAGCATGGGGATATTGGAAGAACCACTGTGGATGCCACAGGTCCACCAGGAATGCTTGAAGGAGCGCTGCTGGGGGCGGCAACTAATATAGGAATTCTTTATTTTTATACTTTAACAATGTGGCAGCTTGGCACACACAGGCAAAAGGTTCTATGTGGCTAGAATGGGTAGGTTATAGAAATCAAATGACTCTTAAAATTTTCTATATATTTGTGTGTGTACGTGCATGCGCATGAATGCACCCATGCATGCGGTGCCCTCAGGGGCCAGAAGAGGTCTTTGGATCCCCTAAGTTGGAGTCACAGGTGATTGTGAGCCACTAAACAGCACTGGGAACCTGACTCAGATGCTCTGGAAAGCAGTGAGCTCTCTTAACCACTGAGTCATCTCTCCAGCCCACAGGTAGGTTTTATATGGAAACCTGCATGTGAACATTCATTGGAAATTAGCCAAGTAAATGTATAGTTGCAGATTTCACTTTATTAGTATGCTTTCCCCCATCACTTTCACAGTCAAATAAAGAAGTGAATTCTAAGAAAATGCAGGCCCAGTATCCTGTGCTTCAAGTGCCCTGCTGCAGAGAAGCCATCAGGCCCCGGGTTTCTAGCTCGCCCTTCTCATGCATTGTGTGCTTTTTAGGCTGGAAAAACTGATAGCATCCTTTTTGGAAGACCAAGATCCAGAGAGTAGACTGGAAGTTGGTGCCGATATGCGTAAAATCCATCACTCTTTTCATCATTTTAAGGTAAATGTCAATGTTTCCTCCAGTCTCAGCCATGTCCTGCCATGCTCCAACTGCAATAAAACTCTTCCTGTTGACCAACTCTAGAAACACCAGGACCCAGCTTCACACATGCAGAAACCAGCCTGCGCATCCAGCCAGGCTGTGACTATCGCTGGGCAGCTGCAGGGACCCTATCGAGCTTTACAAATAAACTCTGGCCACGGGCTCCTGATTCCTTTGCCAGGAGTCTCCCTGTCCTGTGCCCAGAATATGTCTATGCTGAAACACACAAATGTGCACACACACATGAACACGAAATATGAACACACACATTTTCAAACAGTTTAAAGATGAGTGTGTTCAGTTTTTTTTCCAGTATTTTTATTTATCTGAATAACTTACTAATTTTTCTCAGCCTCTGAAGTTTTGTTTTTGTGATAGGGAGTGGGAATGTCACCAGCTTCCATGTGTAATATTGTGCACTCTGCAAAGATACTGTAAGATAAGGGAACATTTTGTACCCTTTTCTGTAGAGATAAAAACAGACATTTATCTAGCAGTAACAGAGCGGACGGGTTCTTCTGCCAAGTCTGTTTGAGTGAAGCAATGACTTTATTAAGGTTACAGAGCACATGTGTCATTGAAAGTCCCACCCCAGCATGGGTGATGACTCAGAAAAACTGAGTTCCTTTGCCACCTGCAGGCCACATTACAAGTCTCCCTCCAGTGACTGTCTTGTTAACTTTGGGGGAAGATCCTTCTGAGACTTATAAGTTTCAGGAGCTTCCTGTGCCTTGGAAGTTTTGTTTGCTTCTTGCTTTGCTTCCTGAGTCATGGAGCTTCCCTCCTCACTCTGGGAGGGAATGCTTCAATTTTGAATAAATTCACAACAAGGGGGAGGAGTCTAGAGGGGATATTATTTAAAGGGGTTTGGAAGTGAAAGTAGCTAAGGGAGAGGGGAATGGGAAAGGCAGGGAGAAGGGAAAACATATCCAGCCAATACGGTAACTGCCTGAAAGGGGAGGGTAAGGGCAGACATGCATGACTAGTGTGTGCTAGAACCAGTACAGCAGCAAAGAAACTTAGGATGTGGGCATGCTCAGTAGGCTCTTTCCCCAAATTGCAGAAGCTGTTGAATGACAAGGACAGCATGAAGAATACAGTCTCCTCCGAAACCACACACCAAGCATGCCAAGAGCCATTGAAGGATGAAGAACATACAAAGCTCCGAGACCTGCTCAAGCAGAGGGACAATGAAATCAGTATCCTTTCTGGCTTGGAATCGGGGGAACATGTAGATTCCCCACTCCTGGTCCTGTGGTATGCCTGCGTTCCTCAGTGTCTCAGCCTCTCCCAGCCTGATTCACACTGAGGTCACACCTGCAAACATCTGACATTAGCATTTTAGCTTGGTTTTGATATTGTTGGTGGTGGTGTGTGTGTTCACACCTGGAGAGGTCAGAGGATAATCAGTTTTCTCCTTTTACTACATGAAACCTGGGAATCTAACTGAGGTTGTCAAGTTACTCTTGCCCAGCTGATTCGTCTCTCAAACCTTGGTACAGTTGTTCTTACAAAGAAGGTTTCAGCTCTTGCTAGTACCATACCGACTCTTAATACTAAATCTTGTTCAAATATATTTTGGTTGCTCTGTGGTGGGCTTTGTGTTTTGAGTCCAGAGTCAGTAAGTTAGCTGGTTATCTTTAGCCAGCTGACCAGACCCCGTGTTAGCCACAACCTCACCGTGGCCCAGAATTTGTGGTTGGTGTATGGTTGAAACTCAAAAGGTGGCATATGGCTGAGAAACGGAGAGTTGGCTTAGATGATGGCATTTAGTCCATGGGAAACGGAGAGTTGGCTTAGATGTGACTTTTTATTTAAAGGGCAGATCTCTTGTCCCGAGTCCCACATACAGATGTTCCCAAGTTAGGCAGTGAGTGAGCAAAGATTGAGTGCTCAAGACAGCATTGGTCTTGACTCCCAGAGGCAGTGTCTTCTGGGTGCTCAGGGCAGTAGCTGCTGGTGGGCCCAGGTGCAGACAGAAGCAATTAATGCTAAAGAGTCCCAGCTGGGCTGCTTAGACCTTAGGACACTGGAAATTTCTTCAGTACTGTTCCTTATTTTTACCTTTCAATCTTCTGTAGAAGATTTGACATTTTCATGACATATATAGTCTTTAAACACTCACAAGAAATAACTTGCCAAATTTTTATAAACATATTTTATTCATTTAAAAATTACTAAGTATAGCTGTTATGCAAAATACATAAAAAGTCTTTATCTACACAGGAGTTGGGGAGATGGCTGAGCAGTTAAAGCTTGCAGGAGCTGGAGACATAGGCCTGGATTCAGTCCCCAACACGGGGTTAGGGACCCACGAACAAATATCATGCTGTGTGTTCATGTTTCATACAATTTTTCAAAGTGTAGAGGAACTAGAAAAATGCTTCAGCAGTTAAAAGCACTTGCTACTCTTCTAGGGGAACCAAGTTGATTTCCTACCACACACACCCAAGCACCCACATCAGGTGGTACACAATCACCTGTAGCTACAGTTCTAGGGCATCTGAGGCCCTCTTCAGGACACACACACACATACACACACACACACACAGACACACACACACACACACACGTAACAAATACATACAGCACACTCATACACACACATACACATAGAGGAGCTTACATAGGCACAAATAATCCACACAAAGGAAACCCAGTGGTAAAGAGGTAAAAACCAATCCAAACAATGTAGACAACCTACCTCATTAGTTTCAGTGTCTAATTTTAGTTGAGTCTTAGCAGGCCCCATGTCAGAGTCAAGTCAGTCTTAGCTACTTTATCACCCAGCCAGCAGCGGTGAGTCCAACTGCGGATTGCACCCCACGCACACCCTTGTCTCCGAGTGCTGCCCACAGTGGTGTCGCCCTGCATTCCTTCCCTCTCTCTTACCCCATCCATCTCCAGAGACGGCCCAGGTCTGGCCCTAGCCCAGTCTGTGTTTTGTTTCTTTTTTTGGCCTTGATCCTAGACTGGGATCTTCCCCCTAAATACTCCTACCAACCTCTCAATACTCGCCAGGGCTTATGAACAGCTATACACTGAGCAGGAAGGAAATGAGAGGTGGCAGCGAGGGACCAGTCCAGGCTGGCTCGCATGTGTTTATAAAGGAGTGAGACTGAATGAGAAACATACGTGCACCAGCCCTCTCCTCTTCGCTGTGCTGGATCCTGTAGGCTGTTCACAGGGGCGACACCAGGTACTTCACACTCGGAGAAGTCAGGAGGTTCCTGCGCCCCGAGACTTGGCTTCAGAACGGTGACATGAATGGAGAGAAAACCTGGGGAGAGGGCTCAGTGCGTAAAACCATGAGTTCAACACCTGAAACACACACGATGGGAAGCCAGGACACAGATGCTCTGAGAGGTCCGCCTCTGGGCAGGACATTCTAACAAGGCAAGCTAGGAAGCCACATAGAATATTCTAAGGGAGAACTGATTGGCCATCTAGAAATCAGCACGATCTAGAAATCAACCTGAGGAAGAATATGGAAGTCAGTTTGTTTCCATGTTACATGTTCAAAATCATGTGTAAACTGGGCTCCTCCTCCATCCTGCGTAGCGGTCTTCTCCCCTGTACCCTTCCTGTGTTTTCTAAGACTCCTGTGTGTGAGTGTGATGTGCACACGTGCTCTCCTGAATGCCAAAGGTCGATATCAGGTGCCTTTCTCCATCACTCTCCACCTCGTATTTTGAGACAAGTCTCACTGAACTTGGAGATAGCCATTTTGCCTGGTCAGTGACCGGAAAGCCTCGGTACTGGGGAGCATCTGCACCCTCTGTGCCACTCTTTTGCAGGGTTCCTGAAAAGAGGACAGTCTCGTGTAGCTTAGGATGTCTCCAAAGTCATTAAGTTGGCAAAGCTGGCCTTGAACTTCTGATCTTCCTTCTAGCCCAGAGTGTTGGGGTAGACTTAATGCAGTGCTCAGAACAACTCAGGGCTTTCTGCATGCTGGACAAGCAGTCCGCCAAGTGCCTGCACCCCCAGGTTCCCTTCTACTTGTTCACACAAGCCTTACCCAGCATTTCAACGACCTTTCAGTTGGATAGTTTTTGTTGTGCCACCGTGAAAGGCTGGTTCCCTCCAGAGCCGCCCACCTCTGCACACGCAGATCCAAGGAGTTGCTGTTCTCCTGCGGCCAGCCGATCCAAAGTGGTTGCGATTGTCTGGTTGGGGATAGAGATTTCTTTTTGAATCTTTGTCTGATCGTGATCACCTCTTAAGAGTGGCTAAATCCTTAAATCAGATTTCAGATATCCTGGTCAACATGTTAAAAAAGGAAAAGAAGAAAACTCAGGATGCTCTCCTCTTATCGAACATGGAGAAGAGTGACGCTAGGCTGCCCCGGAACTCACCCTTCATTCCTGGGAGCCCAGCAGCTCAGAGCACCTCGGTCCCCTCAGCCCCGAGCCAGGCCCAGGACCTCAGCATCTGCAGGCACAGATCCAGTTTGCTCCACAGAAAAACAGGTAGGTTCCCTACATTCCCAGCGTTCTTCATCACACGTGATGGATTTCCACACCACATCCTGTCGTCTGAACTGTGCAAAGGCCAAGTTTCTGTTTATGTGTTTGTTAGAATTACTTGTTTTCAAGTGAAGTGCCTGTTTCCAAAATTCACGAGTGAATGGGTGAGAATCAACAAGTGTATCATAGTGGATTGTGATGTGGTGTGGGTGTGAAGGCACAGGGGTCTAGGCACAAGTAGAGATGTCAGCTTCAGCCGAGGGAGGGGAAGAAGCCCCTTCCTGTGACAGGGAAGGAAGAATGAGATCCACGTTGTGGCACCATGTGATGATGCTATGGAAACCCATGTAAGCTGTCCACAGCCAAGTGACGAAACTGTGAGATTATAAGATCTCACAGGGTTGGGCTCATCCAGACACATTTTCCATCTCTAGCGTTTTATGGAGATGTTGGTACAGCTGCTAAAATCTCACTAGAAGTCTGGGCTTCCTTTTGTGCACTGGCTGTTTGTAGACCGGCATGTAGTGGAGTCCATGACTGACCTGGACTCTAGGAGTCTGAAGTACGGTGCAGAGGGATAGGAAGCACACCCTATTAGCCATGGAAGATAGCATTTCCCGTGTACATATTAGCTAGGAGGGACCACTTGGCATGGGAAACTCTCTGAGGCATCTGGTCTGGTCTCATTTGCAAGCCTGGTGCCATGCCAGCTAGCTTTATTTGTCAACTTGCTACAACTTAGAATGACCTGGAATGACCTCAAATCCTCAGGTGAGAACTTGTCTACATTGGGTTGGCCTATACCGGCCTATGGACCGTCTAGAGTAGCTGTGAGGGCTTGTTTCCAGTGTGTGCTCCCTCAGTAATACAGAGGTGTATTTTGGAATTGGGAGGACTGGTCCTGAACATGGAGAATGCAGTTCTTGGTCAGCGTCATGGACTGCTGAAGAGTGAAAAAGGGTATCTGAGTGAGCGAGCAAGGATCCCCACATTTGTCTTCCTGCTCCTGCCTGTAGGGGTAACATTTTATGTGCCTGCCTTGACTTCCCCACAGTAACGGGCTGGAATTGTTAAGAAATAAACTCCTTGCCCTGTGTTGCTTTGATCAAAATATTTCATTACAACAGAAATGAAAGCAGAGCCGGCAGTGGTGGCACACGCCTTTAATCCCAGCACTAAGGAGGCAGAGGCAGGTGGATCTCTGTGAGTCTGAGGCCAGCCTGGTCTACAGAGCGAGTTCTAGGACAGTCATAAAGCTACACAGAGAAACCCTGTCTCATAAGAAAAAGGAAAGAAAGAAAGAAAGAAAGAAGGAAGAAAGGAAGGAAGGAAAAGAAAGCAGACTAGGCTTTCTAAGCAGAGCACCTTAGTTACTGGAAACAGCATCCAGTAACAGGACTCTGTGATCCCTGACTCCTGCATCTGTTATATCCACATCACCTTGCCTCAGTTAGTTCTTCCACAACACGGCAGCATGGATTCCAAACCCCAGGGAAGCAAAGATGTGTTTGGACTGTTGATGGCAGGGAAAGAAGAACAGCAAGGGTTGCTGATTCCTCTCTGGCACTGATTTCCACACAGCTCTGCTACATTCTATTACAAACTGCAGCTGGCTGGGATAGATGGGGGCAGGGCCTGGACTGGTGAATTCTTTCACTGGCCAGTCCATTCTGCATGTATTTGTGGAGCACAGGGTTTATGAAATTATGCATTGTAATGTATTTATTGTGTGTGGTTATAGATACGGGCATGTGTTGTCATAGGCTGCATGTGCAGGTCAGACAACAATGTTTGAGCATCCAGGGTCTCTCCTTGAACCGTTTAGCTCCTCTGATTGGCCTAGGTCATCCTGCAGGCCCCCGTCTCCACTTCACTGTCTTGCTGATCCAAGCACACACTTTATTATAAACAAGGTTTGTACCACCCTTATATATACCAGTTACTACGCTAAAGTCTCACTTTGAATTAACTCATTTAATCATTATCCTGTGGCTTAGGTTTGTTTTTTTTTCTCAAGTTGCAAATGAGGATATGTATAGACAAACACAGCTTTGACCTTAGAATACTTACAGACCAAGAGAGCTGAGTCATTGAGGGAACACATACTAGGATCATGTCAGAGAAAACCAGAAAGATCCAGAGGGTTGCCAGGCTCATGTGTGGGTGGGGAGACTAATCCAATGAGAGGAACCCGTTGTTTGAGTATTTGCCAAGCCCTTCTGTGGGCGCTCGGCCATGGGAAGGGCAGGTGTGGTGGCATGCGTAGACAAACATAAGGGCGGGTGCTGAGACCCATGGGCAGTTTAAAATTCCCAAGACTGTGCCAGAGTTTGGAGATGCTAAGAGAGGGACAGGCATCTTGGGTGCTAAGGAGGTGGAGTACACAGGGCTTGGTAACGCCTAGGCTGTAGGAAGTCAGAGCGAGGTGAACCCCCAGGTCTCTGAGTGGCTGGTGATGACCTCTGCAGATGTGAGAAATGAGAACCATCTCCCTGGTCCTACAGTTGTGGAAGTTTGGGCCATTGTGGATGCATGTGAGCAGCTCCACCACTGGGGCCCAGAAACAGTGTTCAGAGCTTGGCACTGGCGCTTGCTTGCTGCTTATTTTGAGCCACAGGACACTGGGAAGCCACAGAAAAAAATTCTCTTTCTGACCTTATCCTGTCTTTCGTTCTCCTACTTCCCCCTCTCCTTCAAGGCAGGCATAGAATCCCGAACCCCTCTCTCCAAGCGCAACTCATGAAACTTAGAAATCGTCTCCTGACTACCCATGTAAGAGTTGGCCGGAAAGGTTCTCTGGTTTACCTTGACTGCCTGGATCAAAAGACCTCTGAGGGAGGGTCAGAGGGAGGGTCTGTCCTCCACCCTGAAAGGAATGCCACAAAGACAGGCCAAGACAATGTGGGCACGCACTGCTGAGTTTCCTTACCCAGCCTGCTACATCAGGTCATCTCTTTGGCCCAGTCCTCAGACCTAAACATGAACGTAACCAGTTTTCCCGGGGTCTTTGTGTCTAGGTCTTCCTCCTGAAGACTCCCGGACCACATAAAAGCAGTCTTAACTAAATCTGCTGTGCTACTCTATTCTATCCTCTGTCAGAGGGGAGTCACTGATGGCCCATATGACAGGTGAGAAAGGTGCCTCATCCACCTGCCCTACACCGCTCAAGCTAAAGGTTACTACTTTTAATGTCCACGGTGGAACATCTCTGATTTCTGAATGGTCATGTGTTTGCAAAAATGGCCTCATATTCACCATCTGAGCCTAGTTGTAGGCCTGACTTCTGGAATGTCTGTTTCTTCTTTCTCCACCATCTCCCTTCTCGGAACGCTCCCCCCTTCCCTTATCGTTACAATCATCTTGTCCAGGGCCTCCCCCTCCCTTCATCTTGCCATTGATAGGGACCACGGTCTTGTTTGGAAACAAATCAAGTTTACTTGAATTGAAAATTGCTGAAAAACACCACGGCAATTGTTTTCAAGGTCCAAGAATAAATGAGGTCAAAGCCTTGGAGAGGCCTCCCGTCCAAGTGCTCTCGAGCCGTCTTTACTGCCCTTGCTGGAGTTCCAGGAGATCTGAATATGGGAGCAAGCCGACAAATGGACTGATAATGATCTAACCATCTGGGGAAGGGTTTGCAGGGAAACCGGCTTTATTGTTTGGCAGAGACTACAAATAGGAATGAAAATTGTGGGGGAATCAGAGCCATGGAGCGCCAGGTAATAGGATCCTTGATCATGTCTCAGATCCTGGGAGCCGATCAGACGTTTATGACCAGAGCGGCTTATATAGGAACAGTTTATGTAAACTAGAGCGATCAGCTTGATCTTTTGGAAGTTGTTCTGTCTTGGGAAGGTGTTTTCATTTCTATTAACCATCCAGAGCTGTTTCTAATGCAGAGTCTCTGAGACTGTGCTAAAAGTGTGTCCCTTTCTTCCAGCCCTCTGATTTGTGCTGCACGTGAGCGCCTTTGAATTAGAAAGTGGGGCTGAGTTTATGGTTCACTGGAGAGACCTAAAGTCCTTGTTCAAGCTGCAGATCAGGTGGAAACGAGCAGACTTTGGGATTTTCAGTTGTTGATATGGAAACTGAATATCCATTGTGGTTTCCATAATAGATAGGAGTTGTTTAGACTCACTTTGGAGAGTCCCACTGTTTTTTGGGTGGGGCTGGCAATGTGGCTCTGTTGGTAGAGTGCTGGCCTGGTGTGCACAGAGCCCTGGTTTCCGTCGGCAACACTTCATAAAACCAGTTGTGTGGGGTCAGGGATAAAGAGATGGCTCAGTGGTTAAGGACTTGTGTTGCTCTCCCAGAGGTCCTGAGTTCAATTCCTAGTGCTCACATGCTGTCACATGACAGCTTACAACTCTAACTCCAGCAGAAATACATCTGCATACATCTGCAGCATACATCTGTTATCCCAGCACTGTGGGGGCAGAGGAGCTTGCTGAGCAGCCAGCCTCGCCGAATGAGTGAGCTGTAGGTTCAGCAAAAACCCTGTCAATGATAATAATAATAATAATAATGATGATGATGATGATGATGATTATGATAATAATAATAAAAAGGTGGAGGAGCTGGAGAGATGGCTCAGGAGTTAAGAGGTTTGGTTCACAGCACTCTTGCTGGGCAGCTCATAACCCCAATGTCAGGTTCTAGGACTCTTCTGGCCTGTAGGGGAACCACAGGCACAAACCAGATTGCGGCTGTATCTAGCCCTCCACTATAGCCGCTGAGATACCAGCCCATTGGGGCGTGGTTTCTCTCCCTTTAAAAAAGCGGCCACTTCCCTCTCCTCTCTCTCTTCACTTCCTGCTCTGCCGACTAGACTCCCTTCCTGGTTGCGCAGAGGACTGACAGTGATCTGTAAGTTTTTTCCCCTTTAAATAAATACCATCCTATTAATCATTATTCCAAACTGGTGTGGCATTGTTTGTGACTTACGCCTTCAGTTGGCACCCAACGTTTGGTTTTAGAACCTCTCCTTTCCCCGCTCAGCTGCT